TTCCATGTGCAATGCCCAAGCTTCCTTGTATGAATTGCCTGAGATCTTTGCTAGCCTCTGAGACTCATATGCATGCTCCTGGCCTCCTGAATAATCACCAGTTGTCCATTTCAACAATGCCAAGGTGGATAAGATGTCAGACTGCCGTCTGATGTTCCCAGTGGAAATTGCCAACGATAGTCCCGTTAGGGCAAGGTTGATAGCTCTTGGAATATCAGGGGTCTTATGATCACAAAAATATATGGCTAGCACATCATAATATCTGCCTGGGTGAGATGTATTAGTAACCAAGTCAAACTGATAATTGACATGACCAACATTTGAGATCTGGATCATCAAAGTATGGAAAAGATTCAAGAGCTTCATCCATGATATGTTGGGCCCGGGGAATGGGACGATATGTGGTTACTAGGAGACGTATGATGAAGTACACCTCCAATCTATGGTTTCTAGGATGAGGCAGAAGATCGGGAATCAGCTCTATTACTGGACTGTAACCACGTCCAGCCAGACAACTGAAGTGGTCAAAGTGACATATGCTGTAGATTGTATTGAGGAAATCAGGGTTATCTTGGTTTAAACTGCTTAGCAGAATATTGTGGATGTTGGCAAAGTTGGATGTTATTCGAGCCACCGTCCCTGGATTTGAAACAGTTCCATGATATGTCTCATAGACCTCAAGAAGTTCCTGCAAGTATCGACGAAGAGGTTGAACAATACGAGCCGTAGGGGGGTGTGTTTTCTGTATATATTCTCTGATAGGAACCAATACTTTTAGTCGTTTTTGGCCATCAGTATATGCCAAAGAGGTGGCAAGTAACACGGTTTTGCAGGCCAAGATATTGTCAATTGGTGGCTTGCTTTGTACCAGGTCTGTATCGGAAAGCCCATCGGGGAGAATGGAAAGTAAGCTCAACAACTCTCGGGACTCTGGCATAGACAGCATGCGAGAGCTTTCTAGAGACAGCAAAATTGATAAGTCCAAGTTTGAGCCTCTATCATGGCCTTTGGAGAGCAGTGAGGTCCTCTCTTTCTCCCATCTGTCTAGCACACTGGCATACCCTTCACAATCCACCAAGTGTGCAATGAGGTCAATTGCCAGGGGCATGTTATCAACTAAGAGCAGAATTCTGTCAATCTCCCCAAGAGTATGGCCATTGTCTGCAATATCAATAAAGGTCTGGCGAGCAGCATCCAGTGCCAGGGGCTTCAATGGCTCCAAAAAGGGGTGAGTCCAGCGGATATTAGCAGGCCTTTCAGCTCCACGCATGGTGATCTCAACATTAAATACTATCAGTATCTGAATAGCAGTGCTTAGTTTCTGCTTACAATCAGGGCCAGATGATCAACATCAGCAAGCAAGGCCAAGAAGCTCTCAAGTTCTACACGAGACTCTCTTGGTTCCCAAATTGTCTCCAGATTATCCAAAATCAGAAGTGATGGGGGGCTGCGGGCGAAATGATGGGCAACAGGTTGTGTGAGATTAGTTCCCTGGGTTAGGCCAACATGGGCTCCGATCAGGCCAGCAAGTTGAATGACATTTGATGTAGTGTCACAAGCAACAAAAACCCGATGCTGGTCGTATCTGGCACTGACTTCAGCGTGATGGAGAATGGCTCTGGCCAAGCTTGTCTTCCCTATCCCTCCTGGTCCCAAAATTGCAATTCTGGGTGTTGTGTTGCCAAAGCTCTCGATGATAGCCGAAAGTTCAGATTGACGACCATGGAAAATCTTTGGTTCTGATGGTAGTAATGAAAGCGAGTTTGAGCTGGATGACATTTGAGACAAGTCCACTAATGACTGTACATATATATATCCACATACCTGTTTTGGGAGCTACAAAGGACTCTGCTGATCTGTTGAAAAGAATGAATATTATTAACATTGAAATACGTAGAATCGGAACATACAGTGGATTCTGTATCAGATGGTTCTCTATTTGAAAAAGCCGAGATCATCTCCAGGACTTCCTCGTGTGCCTTTCGTCCATGCTCTTGCAATTCTGTAATATCCCTCAGAGGGGTGACACCCTGAATCTGAGGTATTTCCATTGAAATTGAGACCTAACAGCAACAGTGAACTTACCTTGAATGACTCAAGTGCTTGCTCCAGCCCCATGTGACAAGCCTTTAGCAATGCCTTCATTTCACCTTGACGAAAAAACTGCCTTAGTTTGCGTTTCTCCTGTTGAGCTTCAACATATGTGTGTATCTTGTGGACGGTCCTACAGAAGTGCATGTCAAGAATGTGAGGATGGGGGAGGAAAAAACTTACTCAGTGAATTTCCCCAAATGGTGCATTGTGTCTGGTGGTAAATCGTCACCTGTGTCAGATTGGATATGAACACGGATGATAGCATGGAGGAGCTCATGAATTTTTTCAAGCATCTGGCTGCAATCATCCTCGTTCCTTTTCACGGTCTATCCAAAGTCTGTAAGAGCCGTAGAAAATAGATTATGCACACATTTACCTGGACAGCAGTCAACAGTGAGTGCATGGTGTTTGAAGTTGGTTCCAAAGATGTCTTGAAGCTTGCAGAAACCATGTCCAAAGCGGCGACTGCACTGCTTAAGGATGAAACAATACTGTGGAAGCGAATTTGTGCAGCGGTGGGCTGAAGGGGCATGATTGTGGTGATGACACTGACCACTGTGAGGAGCCATTCCTTATACCAGGTTCCATGAGAAATTTCATAGCCAGCGTCTTTGTTCATCACCCGTCATCACTCCAAGATCGCGCAGCACAGTGCGGCTTGACAATGTCTATGCACACTCCAGTCCCACCGAAGGTATCAAAGGCAGTTGTGCGGCTGATTTCTGATATTATCAGAAATCAACCGCACACTGGGCTCGTCCGGATGAGACGTTTCGCCTATGCACTTATTTTGAAGCATGGAGGGATGTCCATTGAGCTCAACTGTATGAGGCGAGGTGCTCTTAACATCAGCGTGATGCATCTGGTTGAAGTACACAGCCGCACAAGCGATCTTACTGGAAGATGATCAAGCGCCAAGGAATCAATCTATTCAATCTATTCCTCTACAGGCATCGTGAGATCCTAATTAAGGGACACTCGAGACATATTCTTCACCCATTCATTCAGCGGGAGCCTATACTGTAGCTGTGTTGAAATGGAGGCGATGGAAATCATGATCTTCTGGATTATTCGGCACATGCACAGGCTGGGCATCAACTTATCCTTCGTTGACCCCTCCCCGGCCGCCACTTTTACCCAAGGCATGCTGATCCCATTCCACACCGTGGAATCATTTATTTAAAGAGTAGTTGGTTACACTCTGCACCGGCCACGAAAGTGCAGCTGAAATGCAAAGGTCCTGGGTACATGTGTGGATGCCAGAATAATTATTGCTGTGTAGGAAAAGCTTTCAAGTTTCCACGTTGTTCAAGGGTTCAATGGGATCCTGAAGCAAATCCTTCCCGCCATACCCTCGGGAGCTGAGATACAAGTGAACTGGGGCCATGTGGATAAATATCTCCATTGGACAGAAATAGCATAGGCTCACAATGTTGACTAGTGCCACCCTGGGCCAGCCGGCACAAATCCACCACAGGGGGAGATTCGCTCTCAGTTTTCTCAATCAATTTTCTCAATACAGAATCACTGGTTGAAATTGTGTTCCTCATCCAGCCCCAGTCTTTTTCCCAGGCATGGGCGGACCACGCTACATGCACGCATTGCGCGAGATGCAGCACTGCCAACAGATACATATCGAGCTCCACATTTTACAAAGACTTCGCTACGCCTCGGAGACTCGGAACACACATTTATTGAACGTCTAAAACCAACTGAAGATGAAGTCATCTTATTCATTGCAAGTTTCGCCCTGGATCTACCTGAATTGATTGTCGACTTGCGTTTGGATCGGTGGGAGAGCGAGTTCCCAGGTCCGCATGCGGCGTGGGCGGACTACTTCGACCGATACTGAGTAAGCAACGGAGGGGAAGAGCCGGATTCGATGCGCATCAGGGACAACTCCGGACCCAAAAAGCAATTGGAAGCTGCAATCAGTCGGACATGGGGAGTCGAACCCCGATCTGCCTGGGGCATCTAGTCTAAATCGAAATCCGAAAGACAGGAGGCGGTGTTCCGTACACCGTATCCGAGTCCTTGATGTCCCTGCGGCGGTGGATAGGTGAGCATCTTTCGCAGTGGCTTCAAAAGGAACGGAAAACACGATCAGATAGGGAGTCGAACCCCGCTCTGCCTCAGCTGACGTTTTTGAAAGCTTTGAAGGAGAGAGGCGGTGTACTGTACATCATGTCCGAGGCCTTCATCTCCCTGTGCAGCTCCATAAGCCAGTCAGCTTCGTTCCTCGTGGTTCCAAAAATGATCAACTCACTGACGGAATTCGGACACGGGGAGTCGAACCCCGAGCTGCCTCGCACAACTTATCGCCTGGAGGAGAAAGAGAGGAGGCGGTGTACCGTATACCATACCCGATGATTTCTGTGCCTGTGAACTTGGTTAGGTGAGCGATATTTCGCAGTGGATTCAAAAAAAAAAGCAAAGTCTGCATGCCAACTATTCGGACACGGAGGTCGAACTCCGATCTGCCTCGCGCAAGTTACAGAACTCAAACTCAGGAGTGGAGGCGATGTACCATACACCAAGTCCGATGATTTCTCTAGCTGCGAAGGCGGATAGGTGAGACCAGCGGTGCACCAAAATGCGCAGAGACATTTTCGAACCCGGTCTGACTCGTGCAAATCCGAGTCTTCAACCACATCAAGGGAGGAGCTCGAGGCCGTGTGCCGTACATGATCTACCTGTGAGATCGGCAGCAGCGGATCAAAAATACAGAAGAATCTAGGATTCGGACATGGGGAGTCGAACCCCGGGCTGCCTCGCGGAACATCCAAGCCGGTCTAGGAGAGGAGGCGGTGTACCGTACACCACGTCCGATGATTCATCCACCTGCGGAGGTGGATAGATGAGCAATATTCCCCAGCGGCGAATAAAAAGCAGGAAAGAGCCAAGTAGTCGGACACGGGGAGTCGAACCCCGGGCTGCCTCGCCGAACATCCAAGCCCGTCTAGGAGAGGAGGCGGTGTACCGTACACCATGCCCGATGATTTATCCACCTGCGGAGGTGGATAGAAGCAATATTATTTCTCTGCGGTGTATAAAAACTGGAGACGCAGCTGGAATTCGGACACGGGGAGTCGAACCCCGATCTGCCTCGTTTAACTCCTACAATTGACACACCTAACGAGCGAGGCCGTGCACCGTACACCATGCCCGATGATTTCTGTCCCTGTAAAGGTGGTTAGGTGGGCATCTTTCGCAGTGGGCTCAAAAGAAAAAGCAAGCCGGACCAACTATTCGGACGCGGGGAGTCGAACCCCGGGCTGCCTCGTCAAACCTCAAAAGCGCCCCAGGAGAAGAGGCGGTGTACCGTACACCATGCCCGATGATTTATCCACCTGCGGAGGTGGTTAGGTGGGCATCTTCCACGGGCCACGGCACGCATCAAAAAAGACAGTACCAGGAAATATCACGCAGTTCCAAAAAAAAAAAGCCTCAGACCTTGATGGGGCGGCGGTGCGCCGCCAGAGAGGGAGATTACTAGGCTTGCGGTCGAAATGGAGGGTCTTGACGAGGACGAATGATTCAGCCCGGTGAGGCTCCTGAAGCAGCCTTGCGGACGCATTTCGATTGCCCGCTGTCTTCGGATAAGATAATAAGGCAATGAGCGTCGGACCAAGATAAGTACATAGTAGTTTCAGAGCGTGGATGGCTCGTAAGACGGCTTGCACAAGGTGAAAGCAGGAGGCTGGTATTGGCAAGAGGCAAGAAGGCTGAAGCAATCCCGTCGGCCGAAGCCCGAAGGCTGTGCCAAGCCGTAACCTTCACGTCCTCAACGTTATCTTCTCCCAAATTGTGAAGCCAGCTGAATGCATCTCAACGCCGAATACACGCGAATCTATGAAACCCTGGACGACCAGACCGCTATCCTCTTCGCAATGCAGCGCCCTTTGTCTTTTCAAAATCGCGTGGACTCTCTTGAAGCCCGTCGCGCGACGTCCGCGTCCACCCTCGCTGGGTCCGCGCGTCGCTACATCCCTAGCTCCAGCGGTATCACAAGACGGGACAAGACTAGGCGGTCGAGGGGGCACGCAAGCCCGCGCTGCCATCGACGTACGCAAGATATGCGGGCGGGCACCCGCGCCGCGGCACTGCACGTCCGTACCCTCCCGCTCCGCTGATTCAGATGCCAGGTTACACCTGTGGTGCGTTACTCACTCTCATCCTGCGCGCTTCGGCTGATCTAACCAATATTCATCGTATATAGTCACTCCAGCAGGACTAAATCCAAGCTTCGCGCCACCATTTCTCTGGCCTTCGGGAACGGACACACAGACGCGGAGGACGACAGGGCATGCACCAACGAGCGTATCCCCTCCGCGCGCGTCTTCTGCTTCTGCTTCTCCTTTCACCCATCGCCTCACCCTCTCTTCGTCATGTCGATCGCACTCCCGAGGCACGCCCAATATCTCGTGCGCCGCGCACGAGCCTAGGCGCTGGCAGGACGCGCTGCAGGTGCCGTCATCCACTGCATTACGCGTCTGGCCGAGCTGCTTCACGGTCCCGCGCGGCGCGTGCATGTCCCGCATCCTGATGCGCGCATCGTACGGGGGAAGCGCCGGTGCAGATGCACGGGACGGGTGCGTACTGTATGCATGCCTCCTCCGCGCGTTTCGTAGCTGATTTGTGTGCTATTCCCAGGAGTATCCGTCTCCATCGCTCTACTGGTGCGCCCCAGCGCGCGCCTCGGACGAGGAGCCTCTCACGGACGGCGCCTGGACGAGGAGGCAGTGGGGCCAACTCGAGGTGTATTCTATGTATCTACTCTGCACGGTGCGTACCCTCCACCACGGCGTGCGCTTCTGCTCAATCCTAATACCGTGATCGCTAGCGGCACCTCGCGTGGCGCGCGTCCGTCCTTGCGCGCCCAGGGCTTGTGGCGCAGGCGATCATGCAGACGCAGGCGAAAAGGAAGAGACAAGACGAAGTGGAGAAGCGCCTGCAGAGGACGCGGGAGGGCGTATGCATAGGGTGCAGACATACCACGCTCACGGCGCAGGTGTGTATCCACCACCATCATGTGTCTCGAGTCGTTCCGCTGACTGATTTCGGGACTAGGCTACTAACGCGATCATCGTTCTTGTCCGCGGCTCGATTAGCGCGCATGGCGCAGTGCACCCTACCCCGCTGCCTGTGCTCGGAAAGACGCATTCGCGGGACACAGCGCAGGGGTGGGCGAGGAGGACACGCGGGACGAGCGTCGACGCGGTGCGTAGGCGCTAGGGAGACGTGGAGAGCACGAATACGACGCGCAGGAAGACGCGATAGGCATCGCGGAGGGTCTCACGCGCGCACGGAGGAGAGGTGTCGACGGGACGCGTTGCAGCTGTAGGCACGTCAGCCATCTTCCTTCGCGCGACTTGGCGCTGATTTGGATGATAGGACAGCGTCCGCGGCTGCTGGCTCGCTGTGTACCCCCCGGGTCGAGGCGACGCGCGCGGTCCGAGAGCTTGGGCGGGACGCGATAAGCAGCGACGCGGATGTCGCGCGCGCAGCGCAAGGCCAGCGGGGAGGGCGCTGCACACTTAACGAGTCAAGAAAGACAGGGCGGGCCATGAAGACGCTGCGAGATGTGAGGCAGATGCACCCTCGCGGGGCGTTGATGGTGTCGTGGAACGCGGGTGGTGGAACGAAAGGAGTAGGAGGCGCTTGCGCGTGGAGCGCGGTGCGGGTAGAGGAGCGGCGTGGAGGACGCGGGCTGCACATCGTCATCCGCGTCTGCCAGAGCCCCACCCGAAGGAACCGCCGCCGAGGGAAGACGCCATGGGTGCGGCTATGCAAGGGTGTGTGTGGGCTGGGCGCACGAGACATGGAGGGAGGACGCGCGTATCGGGCGGGCTGTGCATTCTCGTCCGCTTCTTCGAGAGCCATGGCGGCGTGTCCTTAGTCCCCGAACGGCTGCGGTGCGGCTATGGAAGGGTGTGCGAGCGCTGGGCGCAGGAGGCGCACGAGGCACGGAGGGAGGACGCGCGTATCAGGCGGGTAGCGCATTCTCGTCCGCTTCTTCGAAAGCCGCGGCAGCCCTTCCTCGCTGACGTGTCATTGCTCCCCAGCGAGTTGCTGTAGTGGGCGGGACGCAGAGGACGCGCGTAGACGGGTAACGCATTCTCGTCCGCGTTTTCCAGAGCCACGGCGGTATTCCCTCGGCGGCGTCCTTGCTCGCCAGCGAGCGGCTGTGGCGGGCGGGACGCAGAGGATGCGCATATGGGGCGGGCAGTGTATCCTCGTCCGCGTCTTCCAGCGCCACTGCAGCCCGTTCCCTGGTGAGTCGCTGTGGTGGGCGCTGTAGGAGCGCGTAGTGGAGCAGCGGGTGGAGGAGAGACGTGACGCGGATGAGGAGCACGACGGGCCTGAGGGGTGGATAATTGGAGGGACGCGCGCGAGGATGGCGGAGCTCACGCTTGCGGCTGGGGATAGCGCCTCACGACGCGCGGTATCCTTCTTCGCGCGCGCGTCCTTCGTGCCCTTCGTCTATCGGTCGCAGGTGGCGAGCGGATGTGGCTGCGGCGGCACAGCTCGAGGAGCGGAGACGCCAAAGATGCGCGAAGCAGGCGGGCTGCGCGTCTTCGTCGGCGTCTTCGAGAGCCACGACAGTCCTCTCTCCTTCATACCCTTCATCTCGTGCGATGGGGAGAAGGTGTGGGTACGCTCGGCGCAGGCGGCGCGCGAGACGGAGGATGCACCTAGCAGGCGGGCAGCCCATCCTCGTGCGCATCTTCCACGGTCTCGGCGGCGTGTCCTCGCGCTCCCTAGCGAGCGACTCTGGTGCGGGCAGGTGCGCGTGATAGAGCACCTAGTAGAGGGGGGACGCGCGGAGTGGAGGTGGGACACGCGCGCGGTGTGCAGGAGGAGCACGAACGACGGGGCCGCGGGCAGGGGGCGGGGCTTCATAACGGTGGAGGGACGCGATGTTGGAGGAACGCGCGCGGATGGCGCAGCCCGCAGCTTCACGAGGGCATGCACGCCATCACTCCCTCGCGTCGACGTCTGCGAGGAGATCGGTCCCCGCGGACGATGGTCTTCCTATGGGTACGCAGAGGTGTCATCGTGCGCGTGCGACGGAGAGAAGAGGAAGGGCGATACGCACGCCAATGCAGCGTCCCAGCCCCGCCGTCTTCGATTGCGCTGTCGCACATCGCGTGTGGCGGCCCTCCCTTCGCGTAGGCCGCCTTGCCGCGTGGGGGTGATGGGCCCCTGCGTCTCTAAGCGCGGATTTGTCCCCGTGTGCACCCAGGGACCCACGGAGCGGGGAGGGGTGTCACGAGCGAAGCTGCGCGTCAAGTCTCACAGGGAAGAGGGAAGGACGGGGCGCTGCAGCGGGTGCAGATGGCGTGCCGGCGGACGGGTCAGCAACACGCGCAGGGGACGCGGAGGTGCATGTGCGGCGGGACATCCCATCGCCACCGCTCGTTTAGAGAGGCGGGAACTTCCACCCAGGAGGGGGGCGATGGCAGGAACGTGGGCGCCGCGCCCGCCGCGCATCGCTCGTCTGCGCGATGTCTTCGTTTATCGCCTCGCGCGACAGACGGAGACGCGCGAAATTTGGCCGCGTCGGGAGCCAGCGGAACACTCGTTGACGTGAGATGCCAGCTCGCCTGGAAATTTCCGCCAGTAGCCGTGCGGCCTAGTTCTTGAGGACCTACCAGTATATACCAGAGAATGCAATTTTCAAGTCCTCAGAAGTGTACGGTAACGCACATCTGAAATTTACCGCTTTTCGCTTTGTAAAATTTGAGCGTTCCTATTGGCCGCGAGGAGTCTACGCAGCCGGAGGCGCGATTGCGACTGGCAGGCGATAATAGCGTGTCTCTCACCTGCAGTAATATAATTGAAGAGGACACGGGCGTTTTGGATGTATAACATTTTGATCTAGTGAGTTTTCCAATTCTGCGGCTGCTTGCTTGATAATCGTTAGTTGACAAGGCTCGCTTAGGAGTTCAACGGTGACTGAAGACCTCAGTAAGCGGCAGCGCCGCTGAATAAT